CACAAAGGGATCATGCCTATGGATCACAATCTGGGAGATTCAATGGCATGCTGTCTAATACAGTATGAAAAAGCAATGCGAATAATGTTCACAAACAATGCAACATTTATCAGAAGAGAAGAAGATGAGGCAACGTTATTCAAGATGGTGAAGAAACAGTACGTCAAGGAAGGATACACGAGGACAGCGAGATGGGACAACGAAGGGACGTTCGGACGAGCCTATGCCATACCCAAACATAAAGACACGACCAGATGGCGACCGATATGTCCATCGTACAGTGAACCATCGAGACGCATGTGTAGGCTCGTCGGTAAGGCACTCAACTTCCTGCTGTGGAATTTGCCAAAACACTCAAACTTCAACCTGAAGAGCACGCAAGAACTGATACAGCGACTTCAGGCCGTGAATTCTTCAGGAAAGAACAAGGGGCCAAAATGGGGGATAATGGCCGTCAACTTCGACATTAAGGATATGTTATCGAAGCTGCCCCATGGAGCTATTGTCAAAGCAATCAAATGGGTCATTGAACGGTTTGAAGAGAAAGGAAGGGAGCATGTGAGAGTAAAGATCAAAGGAAGAGGAGCTACTTTCGGTAAGGCAGTTGGGGAAGTTGGGTGGAAATCGGTAAGATTCCACACGATCGAGAGTTTCGTCAAATTCGACCTACAACACACATTCGTGGTGACTGCTGACAGGATTCTGCAACAGAAGGACGACATTCCGCTGGGCAAGAGCAGCAGCCCTGCAATAGCATGCTTGCTCTGTGCCTACTGCGAGTATTCATTTTCAGCCTCAGTCGGGACAGATAGAGGACTGATCCACGGATGCAGGCTGGTGGATGACATGTCCATATTCGTGAAGTTCCGGATCGACCGAAATACGAGCGTGGAACGAGCAGTGCAGATCTTAAGGGAATTCGAACAATGCTACGACAAGAGACTAACACTAAAGAGTACAGACGGCGGAACCAAGACCTGGCCATTCTTGGGATGCGAAGTACGAGTCAGCATGTACCCCCCTGACATTACGTGCACCGCTGTAACGACAAACGGACCAGAACTCCTTCAGGGGGGTAGGATCGTGTTTCAAGGACTGCAGGACTTCAAGTCGTACACGACACCAGAAGCAAAGAAGGTCCGGCTACCTGCACATGATTAAGGATCACACGTTAGACAAGGAAGACGCAAGATCAACCCTCCTGGCTCTCAGAATGAGCTACGGAGACGCAGTTTCCCAGACCCCTACTTCGAAGGAAGGCTGAGGCAGTTATCAAAAACTAAAAGGGGAGAGTGAGACATGTGGGTACAAGTGCTATGCGAAGAGGACCATGAGCGAGGGAGTAGCGGAAAAGCAAACATAAGGCAGAAAGCTACCCGGAACAACTTGTCGGCAAAGGGACTGCGGATCTGAACACACTAGCAGTCCAGAATGGGTGGAGAAGTAGCAAGGGGACCAAATGAAAAAAGTAGACGGAAAAAGAGCGGGGTTTCGTTTTCTTTGATTTTTTTTTTCTTTTGAAAAACACGGGTTAACCTTAATTTTTAGGATTTTTGAATTTTTGAAAACGGGAAAAACGCGGGTTAACCTTAGTTTCTAGGATTTTTGAATTGTTGAATTTTTGAACTTGAAGGACCGTAGTAGGACTGGTCGCACGATAGGCAGTATTTAAGGCAGAGAGGTGCAAGTGACACCCGTCTCGTCTTGGCTACTACCTCTTCCAAGTCCACTATTGGGTCATTCGTTATGAATGTGTCATTGTCATCATCCTGTTATCCAGAAGGGACGACGACGATGTACGAATGCTATATGCCCGTGTGTAAGGGAGAAAAGAACTAACAAAGTATGTATCGGATTCACTGTCGAAGTCATCAATGTCCCGCTAGTTGAAGTACCGTCACAACCATACCAACCTCGCACGCGTTAGCGTACGACTGCACGAAACTCGTTTACCCGACTGTTCTAAGCAGGCTGTCTCCTTCGTGGATCCAAGAGAAAGGCAGCTACATGTGCCGATTGCTGCATCAACTGCATCTAGTGCTTCACCTTCACCATCAGGTTTTCGTGCTCCTTCGTGAGTACGACATTTCTCAATCTCCTTGCAATGAGATCGTTGTACTCCACAAGGTTGGTGGGAGACCTCCTTCCTTGTCCATTCTCTTGAGCACGCTGAACACCGGCGCCGTGATGGCCATAATTTTCTTCACCTTATCCCACCAACTCTCACACCTCACTGAGTAATACACGAGGTCGACCTTTCTTTGCAGCTTTGTTAAGGACCACCTCAATGCCCTCCATCTCGCACCATAATCCCCATCCACCATCTCATTTAGCACGCCCTCCCTGTTCACCAAGCTACTCAACATCTGATACACAGACCCGAACCGGACCTCTGTTGAGCACAACAATGACAAGGACTCGTCGATAGTCATCATGAGGCCGTGCGTAGCGTAGTGGTTCCTTATGAATTTGACAATCGTGTTTACCGTCTTCACCGTGTCCTTCACCCATGGCAAACTGCTCAAGTCCTTCAGCAACAAACTGGAACGGTGCGCTCCACATGGCACCCACGGTATCTTCGCGACATCTCTGTCGGTCCACCTCTCTAAGATCTGAACCGCTTTCTTGTTGACCACCACATTGTCTGTACAGATCACGTTGATCCGCCGAAGCCCTATCTCGCGCATCACCTGCTCCCACAACTTCGTCAATGCCGCTGCGTTCTTCTTCCTCCCTGTCATGTGCACTATCGTGACCAAAACTGCTCCTTTCTCCCTTGCTGCAAGCAAATTCATCACTGGCCGGTTCTTGCGATTTGTGGACCCGTCGGTGATGAATGTGCAGCCAATTGTGTCCCAGCATGCAATCATGGGGTTGATTGCTTATTGCACCTTCATGTAGATGTAATCAATCACGGCAGTCCGCATGTGTTTGTAGGAAGGCAACTTGACGTTTGGCCCTGCACTTGCAACCTTCAGGTATGCTTCGTGAAGAGCTTGCGTGGTGTCGAATTTTAGGAAGTTGAAAGGAATGCCTGCCTTGAACATTGCCTCTGCCACGACAATGTCCAACTCCTTCTGAGCTTGATTGTCGACCCGCTTCTTGATTGTGATATGCTTGGCCACGACAGGCTTGACAGTGCCTTGCGCTTCGCCAGGGACCCCATGAGTCTGAGCAGCCATTTGTGGACCAGACCTCCTTGGGAGAGGTGGTGGTACCGTCTCAGACAAAGGATCCTCAACATCAAATCCACTCTGCACATGCTCCTCGCCCCCCTCTGCACACCTGGCTAATCCCCTGACATTCTTCAACAAGTAACACGCATTCTTGTCGATGGACTTCACCTTGCCACGCTGGGCGCTGACAAGCTCATCGACGATCTCCCCTGTCCAAAAAGAACATGGCTTCTGCGGTTTCAGGAAATGATGAACCACCTTCGTTGACGAGCCCCTGAAGATGGTGGAGCATAGGTGACACCTGAGGCAGTACTCCCCACGGCCAGCCGACAATGCCTCTTGTCCCCGTTCAACCGACTGCCGGTCTAAACTCCTCTTCAACAGCTTCTCGTGTGCCTTGTCGCCCTGGGGTTAAAAGAGCAGGGTCAGTGCCCAGTGTTGCATCCTTGTTGACTGGCGTAGGGGTGGACTGCGCCGTCTTGCTTGAGGAAGGCCTGTCAGTATCATGTAACACCTGGCCTTTCCCTTTGTCTGCACCAGCAGTGCCCAACCTGCGTCTCAATGGTTCAGCCCCACCATTGCCATCACCTGCCATGCTGTCACCCGCGGTATGTGGAAGGGAAAAAAAAACAGATGAAGTGTGGAAGGCTGTGGCTTTGGGACGCCTTAAATGATGGTGATGATGAAGAAGAAGAAGAAGAAGAAGAAGAAGAAGAAGAAGAAGAAGAAGAAGAAGAAATGGAAAAAAAAAATCGCTACCGCTTTGGCTTGGGCTCAACAGGGAGGGAGGAGGAGGAGGAGGAGGAGGAGGAGGAGACGAAGAAGAAGAAGAAGAGGAAGAGGAGGAGGAGGAGGAGGAGGAGGAAAAGAAGAAGAAGAGGACGAGGAGGAGAACAAGAAGAGGAGGGAAAAAAATGATGAGGACGAGGAGGAAGAGGAGAAGAGGAAGAGGAAGAGGAGGAAGAAGAAGAAGAAGAAGAAGAAGAAGAGGAAGAGGAGCAGAATGAGAAGAAGAGGAGGGAAAACGACGAAGAAGAAGAAGACGAGGAGAACGAGAAGAAGAGGAGGGAAAAAGATGACGAGGACGAGAGAAGAAGAAGAAGAAGAGGAGGACGAAGAGAAGAAAAAGAAGAAGAGGAGGGAGGAAGAGGAGGAGAAGAAGAAGACAAAGAGGAGGAGGAGGTGAAGGAGATGGGGGAGGAGGAGGAGGAGGAGGAGGAGGAGAAGAAGAAGAAGAAGAAGAAGAAGAAGAAGAAGAAGAAGAAGAAGAAGAAGAAGAGAGGCGCTGGTGGACTTACTTTCACAGCTATGGGGGGCAGTTGCGACGAAGCGGGCTGGCGGGGCGAAGCAGCTGAAGAGAGAGGTCGGTGGCGGGCCGGAGACGGTGAGTCCTTGCTGTGGCGTGGGGCAGGCAGGGTGGAGGGGCGGAGGGGTGGAGGCAGCGTTTTCTCCAACGCGATCGACATTTCAAAACACAGCCGATTTCCGCTGCAGATCCGCACATCTGCGATCGAAATCGACCACGTTTTCAATTTTGAAAACGGGGGCCTACTGGACCCGTTTTTCGTTTGGAAATGCACGGCCGATCTCCACCGTCGATCTGCGCCAATCAGCAGCAGAGATTGGCCGCGCGTTCTCCACCAAAAACGGGGTCCGGTAGGGCCCTTTCTTTTTACTCTGCTGGTGGCGGCCTCCCAGAGGCTGGGCGGGGACGGGGACATCGAAAAATCCCCCATACCGCCCCCCCAAATAAGTGCACTGAATGGAACCGAGGGCTTGCCAGGCCAATGAACCACCTGGTTGGACCGGTAGGCTCCCGTTCGGTCGAAGGTCCCCCAGTCCATCCGGGGACCAGCACTGCTCACAAGGCAATTATCCACGCAACTGAGTGGATAATCGAGGTATACGAGAACAGAAGCCTTGGTCATGCAAGGGTGAAGCTGAATAATGGGAAGGGGCCAACTTTTGACAAGACTGTCAAGGAAGTGGGGTGGAAGACTCGTCTCTTTCAAGACAACGTTAAGATTCTAAAAGTGAAATTTGACTTCACCCACATGTTCCTGGCGGTAGCCACTGGAAGACTTGCTTTACACACAATGTCATGGTTTGTTAGATTTGAGTCGACTTCACCCGCATACTTCTCCTGGCAGCTACGAGGATATTGCGACAAAAGAGGGATCTCCACCGGGTCCTGCCCTTTGCATGCCTACTCTGCGCATACTGAGATATCCTTCCATACATCTCATTCTTGGACAAAGACTGGTTGACAACGTACCACAATTTGCCTTTCCGTATCGATAACAGAGAATCTGGACGAGGATATGGATATCATGACAACCTCTCAGTATGTGCAATAACAAAGGTCTAATGCTGCATAGGACTGAGATTTTGCACGGGTATAGTGTTTCTCGAGTGCCAAGTGCCAGTCAAAAATGTGTACCCCCTAGTCGTAAAATGTGCACTGGTAACGACCAACAGGCCCAGACTCCATAGAGGGGGGAGGGGGGTTAACATTGTGTTCCCGGACTCCTAGTCAGCCTCCCCTTAGGCAAAGAAGGCCGTCATAACTTGATCAAGACTGATGCAATGCCCACTCTCCTGGCCTCGAAAATCGACCTTCGGAAGAGAGGTTTCGACTCCAGGTTATGGAACTTCTCTGAATTCAGCGATGGCAGTTGGGTTAACTGCATCGAAATAGCATGTGAAGAATAACAGAAAAGATATCAGAACCTGGGGGTACAGACCGGTACCTGACATTGGAAATGCACTCATACTAGTTCGGCAACCCTTATGAACGGAAACCCCCCCTGCTATTTGGAAATACTTTTCGAGAAATGGCAGGGATCGGTGGACTCCAAATAACAGAGACGCATACGCGGCGAGGTGCGCAAAACGACTGAGGACGGTCTCACACTACAAGAGGGACGTCGTGTTTCCGCAATGTGTGGCACAGGCAGAGTCACAGGTAAACGGAAAGGGCAAGGTCAACAATCTTTCCACAGTTCTCAAAAATTTCAGTCAAGAAAAGAGCAGCACAATTCGAGTTAAAGAGACGCAGTGAACTAGGAGCAAATATAGGGACTAACGATTGCAGGACCGTGAAACCAAGCACGAAGCGTAGTCGTGAGTTCTTCATGTGTTGTATGCTCGATGGATGGGACTAAGCAGGGCACTAGGCAGCCTTGTGAGGCCTCTGCTTTGACATGCACCAATATTGTGGAAAATAACAGGGCACTAGCCATCCTCGTGGAAAATAGAAAATAGAATCCATACCAGACAGTTGAATGGGTACCATCTTGCCCCGAACATAACACACTCTGATAATGGTTGTACACAAGCTATGTTTCAGGTCAGGTACAGACAAAATGAGGGGTACAATAATAGAACGCTAGTCTTACAATTCGAGGAAGACGCTACTGGCAACAGCAGAAATAAGTTGGGTGTTTCATTAGAATGCAAGGGCAGGACGCTGCTGTGCACATTATCTCATGAGTTGTGTGTTTCGTTAGAATGCGAGGGAAGGACTTTTTTAGATTTTCCCTATCACGTCCTATCTGCTGCTTGTTTGTCCTCGTCGAGTCTACAGTAGCCATTTTGCTGAAGAGTCTTGGATCTATGGCCATGCTTTAGTCCAGTGGAGTCATTTTGAGAGTTGTTCCAAATTTTGATTGTTTCTTGTTTTTTCCCTTCTTCTCACGACTGGTCAAGACTTAGCTCGTCGAAACAGTGGTATGTCTTGCGATGCCATTAGTATCGATTATGATTCGATATGATATGATCGACTCAGACGAGTGCTCTCGGCTATAGGAATAAACTGCATTCCGCAAAGTTCTCCAATCGACTGTGACGACCGCTGTATGCGTGAATCAACATTTCGCTGCCTTGTTGCCTTGTTTGCCCTGCCTGCCTCATTGCCTTGCTGCTTGCTTCATTGACAACCCTCCTGCCTGTTCGCCTTTCTGCCGACTGCTGTGTTGCCTTCTCGGTTCGTTTGCAACCCACTGACCTCTGTCCCTGCTGCTGCCTGTTTTGCCTCTTAGCTCCTCACTTTTCTGTTGGTTGTCGAGCTCCCTTCCCTCCCTTCCCTGGATTCTGCTCCAGACTGCCTTCTTTGCTACCCCAAACCGAATATACAACAATCAGAAGGAATTATCCGAACTAATTGCTGCATACTAATGCATGTTCGATTGCAATCTCCTGACAAATTTTATTGAACGAGCCACACACAGCCACAAGTGCGCCCATGTGCATGTGTGTGTGTGTGTGTGTGTGTGTGTGTGTGTGTGTGAGAGAGAGAGAGAGAGAGAGAGAGAGAGAGAG